AGTTTTGTAAGTACTTGGCTACTAGCAAAATGTTGCTTGTCTATTCAGATCCACCCCCGAGGCACCTTGAAACAGAGATGTGCTGGACCCACTTGCATGGGATCCCAGCCATGGAAAGCCTGGGGCACACAGTTCTTCTCTCCTTTATCCTGTGCCACCACAAGTCAAAATCAAATGTTGTTGTTATGTGCCGTCGAGTTGTTTGCGACTCATAGTGACCCTAAACCCTGCTCTATCCTGTGCCAATAGCATTGCCTCTGAAATACCCATCCCGATTACCCCAGTCACTGAATCAATCCACCTCATAGAGGGTCTTCCCATCCTGCGCTGTCCCTCTACCCTACCAAGCATGATGTCCCTCTCCAAGGACCTGTCTCTCCTTAAAACATGTCCAGAGTATGTCAGATGAAGCCCCAGAATCCTTGCCTCCAAGGAGTAGCCTGGTTTAACCCTCTCCAGGATGAATCTATTTGTTTTCTTGGCAGTCCATGGTACCCTCAATACTCTTCTCCAGCACCACAGCTCAAAGGCGTCAATTCTCCTTCTGTCCTCCCCAGTCATTGTCCAACTCTTTGATGCATAACAAGTGATTGCAAAAACCATGGCCTGTATCAGGTGCACCTTAGTCTCCAGAGAGACACCGTTGCTCTTGAGTACTTTAGAGAGGTCCCTAACAGCAGACTTTCCCATCGCAATACGTTTTTTTTAATTTCCTGGCTGCTGGTGCCAAGATTGTTGACTGTAGAGCCGAGCAAACTGAACCTGTGAACAATCTCAGTCTCTTCGCTATCTATCCTGACGCTGTCAGTTGGTCCAGTGGTGAGAATCTTTGTCTTCTTGACATTGAGCCATACTGAAGGCTGCAGTCCTTGACCCTCTGCAGTAAGTGCATGAGGTCCTCCTCAGTTTCAGCGAGCAGGGTTGTGTCATCTGCATAATGCAGATTGTTGATAGATCTTCCACCAATCCTAACGCCACGCTTCTCCTCATAGAGCCCAGCCTCTCGGATAATCTGCTCCGCATACAGGTTGAAAAGGTATGGAGATAGGACACATCCCTGGCATATACCCTTCTCGATTTTGAACCATGCAGTGTTGCCCTGCTCTGTTCTGACGACGCCTCTTGGTCCAAGTATAGGTTTCGCATTAGCACAATTAAATGTTCTGGGATTCCCATTCTTCTCAGAGTCAGCCACAATTTGTTATGATCCACAGTCAAATGCCTTTGCATAATCAATGAAACACAGATAGACATTCTTCTGGTATTCTCTGCTTTCAGCTAAGATCCATCTAACATCAGCTAGAAACGGAATCAAATAGATGCTGTTTTTTAAAAGCTTAGTCCATCAACAAACAAATGGATAGAGAAGCTGTGGTATATTAACACAATGGAATACTATGCTGCATTGAAAAACAAGGAGCTCATGCAATATTATTCAAAATGGGTGACCCTGGAGGACATTATGCTGAGTGAAGTATCTCAGTTACAAAAGGAGAAATACTGCATGGTGCCACTGCTGTAAAACAGGACTGACATCAGGATTGGGGGGAGTCTGAGAAAGATGGGTTCAATAATGCATTGAAACAGATGAGGGAGAATACTGTTTAAAAGGGATATGGCTTAGGTAATTTTGTCATGATGGGAGTCCAGAGCAAAGGCTACACAGTGGAGTGGACCTGGGGGGAGGGATTGTAAAACAATTAAAGAATTTTTCTTTTACTTTTCCTAGAGGCGAGTGTACTGGGAGGGAAGGTTGGGAGGGGAGAAAAGGGCAACAATGAATGAATGGAAATCCAAAGTCCCTGTAAATTTTCATTGAAATTAATAATAATAAAAAATAAATAAATAAAGCTTAGCAGAGAATGTTTCCCCCAGTGGGCCAAATTGTTAAAATTTTCAAACTTCTGTGTAACAATAGTAATTTTCTTTCAAGTAATTTGCTGAAATACTGTTTATATATTCTTTTGGTTGTTTTTTTTTTCTTTCTTTTTTTTTGTGTTTTGTTTAAGTTTTTGTGTTTGTGTGTATCGTCAAATAGAATCTGACTGGTACAGGAGGAGATTGCCCCTCCTTCTCCAGCAGAGCATCTGATGGATTTGAATCGTGTACCTCTGGGATTGCAGTGCAGCTTCTTGCCAGTTTGAATATTTTTAATATACAAATGAAATGCTTTGAAATGCTAATTTCCTCAGAAACATTACAAATTACATTTTTCTGTGATAAAGTGCTAGTGATAGATTTTGACCTATGAATTTAATTTCTTATCTCCAGGAATTGTATCCTTATAAGAAATGAAGGTATAAAAATATGTAAATATTAAGATGTATGCAACACATTTGCGTGTGTTAGATTCCTGTTCATCCTGTAGGACATAAATCCCCAAAGCAGTAGACCTCATTAGGGAATACTTTTGAAGAAAATGCTTCTTAGGTATTAATGATGGATAATTAAGGTAAATTATCTGTGTAAATGTAGCAAGGACAACATGGAGGAGGCTGAGTCTAACTTCTACTAGCTTCATAAAAGGGAAATGTTCTCATTACTAACCAATCCTGTGGTAAGACATATTCCCCAACACTGCTGCACTTAATTCTCCTAGTCACTGGGTCTGTTGTTGATTGCATGTTGATTTACAGGCCTGACTTAACTCATAGTTTGGGGGGTTTATTAAGGAAATAAATTGAGTGGAGAAGGTAAAGACTATCACACAATGAAAACTCAAGTTTTGGTGAATAGCTATCCCAAGCCAGGTTAATACCAAGACACAGTTCCTCCATTAGTTGAGACAGCCTCAGAGTCAACAAGGAGAAGTCCAGGGTTAGCCCAGCAATGCAAAATGCAAGAAGCCTCTGGTTTCCTCAGTCATCTGGAAAGCCTTACCTCACAGCAGCCACAAGCCAGCTCTTCTTTTAATTGTCCCTCAAGCAAAACATTTGACTCTGGCTCTGACTCCAGGACTCCTTCAGGCTTCACCTTGTCACAGTCTCTCTGCAGTTAGATTAGCTCTCTTATGTTGGCCTCACAGCCGTTGATGAGGTGAACCGTGTGTCTGTAGTTACGGCAGCTGGAGACCATACTCCCAGAGAGAGGCAAAGGCAATAGATAAAAAAAACGTTTTCAAAATCTGAAACTGCTGCAATCCCAGAGGCACATGGTTAAAATCCACCAACTGTTCCATGGGAAGATGGACAGTTTCCTCCAGTGCAATTTACTGACTCTGAAAAACTGCTGAAAGGTCAGCTATGGGTCATTTTAACTTAACGTTTACACCACCACCATAATCGGGATGGTAGATAAAGATGGGTGTACAGATTTTATTTGCTTTTATTATAAAGATGTTACAGACAGTAAGCATATATCATAGGTAGGTCTGGTGGTCGGTTTCTGATGGTCAGAAGCTGTGCTGCAATCCCAAAAGTATGCAGTTTGAATCTACCAGCTGCTCTGTGGGAGAAGGATGGTCTGTCTCCTCCTGCTCAGTTTACTGCCTCTGAAAACCCACTGGCTTGTCAGCTCTGAGTCAGTTCTGACTCCATGGCACAACAAGAAGAAGCATATATCATTATGAAGTTGTATTTGCTATCAAATTGGAACTGATATGTAACTGACCCTCTCATGGGTTTTCAGAAGCTCCTGTAAATTGCATGGGAGGAAATTGCCTGTCTTTCTCCTATGGAGCAGTTGGTGCATGCAAACGACCTACTTTTAGGTTGGTAGTGCAATTCTTTACCTTTTGTCATTATATCACATCCTATATATCATGTATTTATCATTATGAAATTGGTTATATTCTGGAATGCTCAGAGGAAAAATAGACAGCTATTACAGTTGAACTATAGATCGTGTCCACTGAAAAATGTCCAAAATACAGATTTTAAGTTTACAAAATAGTTTGTGCCTCTTATACATATTTATAATGGAAAAACATTTGGAAAGATATGCATGAAAGTTGAGCATTCATTTTTATCTAATCTTAATCTCTAATCCTATATATGATTGACTTTTTAAAATGGAATCTCATAGTAAAAATGAAAGCACAGAAGGAAATGGAAGTGGAGGGTGATTTTATGTTCTTGGGAGAGCAGGAGCAAAGTCCTGATGTGTGATCCACAAGTATCTAGTTGGGAGCAGTCAGGAGAGCTGGGGAAATATGAGCTCATCCTCTGTCTGCCTGTCCTCAACCATCTTAATGAAAAATCTGAAGACTTGGTGTTCCGGGATAGTTAACCCATTTTTACAGTGAGGCAGAGGGCATAGCCTGGACCTTTTACACACAGTGGTTTGTTTTTGTAAAATGTGTACTCTTTCTGTGTGCTCTCTCCCAGCCAGTCTATACTTTGACCATAATCTACCACCTTGCTTAGAGTACAGTGTTTCCCTAGCAGGCAGATGTCCTGTTCTGAAGGGGAAGGTTGCTCAGTATCCAGACCACTGACTGGGTGTGGATGGCTCAGGCTTCTGTGTCTGGATCCGGAGCATGTCTCTTCTGATGCTTTTCCAGAATTGGATTTGTTTCAATGACATTATCCTTATTATATAATAAGAAATCGAACCATGTAGGTGTGTAAAGTTCATCCTGCATATTTTTCATATGATAATAATAATCTAATTTGAACATAGAAGCCCACTTAAAAGAGAGACTGGTTTTGTATTAACATTTTTCTAGGGTTTCATTTTTATCTTCTTAACTCTCAAATATTTTCGGCAGAATGTCTAAAGACATGGTTTGGTTTTATGGAAGTCATTATATGCCAGTCGTACCCTTGAAAATTTCTCCAAGGAACTACAAAGGAGATTTTACTAAAAGTTTTATTAGCTGTAAAAGATTATGTGATACAATATCTTTTGTACCCACCCCTCTACCCTCTAAAGCTCTTTAGGATTATACATTTGCTGAGCATTATGTTTAATTGGTTCACATGATGCTGTATCGCCTTGAGAACAGTACTGGTTTAATTTGTCACTGATGAAATGAAAACTCTTTTTTTTCTCCCTACCAGGTTTCAGCATTAAAAACAATGGCCAGTCAAGGAGGCCCCAAGTATACACTCTCACAGCAGCCTTGGGCACAACCAGGTATTTAGGTTTTACTATTTTGGGTTAGATTTTTCAGGGTGTGGCTTGCTTTGCATGTACGTGATCATTATTCTGAGTGTTTAGAGTTCATTTTGGGGCACTGAGAGGTCTGGATTCATGAAAGAGTCAGTTTGGAGCTGTCTTAAGTAGTGTTCTATTTGCATGGTAGCAAGTAGTCTGTGGGAGGAATAAGAAGAAAATCCCCAGTAAAAAATAGATTGCAACACAGCCAGAATGGAATGAATGAACTGATGACACTTTGTGGAAGATGTAGCTGGGAATGAATGAGCATGATGGCACGTTGTGGTAGATGTAGATGATCATACTGAATAGATGTGTACAGATTGTTAAATAGAAACCTAATAGTATAGATGTTCACCTTAGACGCAGCCAGATATTATTTTAAAAAATTTTAAGAGGTGGCTTAGATGGATAGTTTGCTGGTTTCTGTGCCCCATTTCATTGTGGTAAAACTTTGATGAGAATACTTTATTTGTAATTGTTAGTTGTTATCAAGTTGACTACAACTCATAGTGACCTTCTGAACCACAAGTTGGAAACTTACTCTGTCCTGCGCCATGCTCACAATCCACAATAGACTTCTTAGCCATAACTCGGAAGCAGTTTTGAAGGGTGCTGTTACTTGGATTAATAGGAGCCTTTGGTGCAAGTTTTCAGTTATTTATAAGGTTTACTTAGAAATAGCTGATTTTTATTTTGTATATTTATGTAAATGAAACTCAAGTGTAAGAAGTCTTCCTGAAGATAGGTAGAAATCAGCAAATAGAGGTATATTTAGTATAGCTAAGCCCAGGAGCTTGATGCATAATTAATGTATTACTATTTTATCTTTTCCTTCACAATAGGGTTATCATTTTCTCAAGTGGAGTAAAAGAGAATTCTCAGTATTGTTAGTGCATTTTGTTCTTAAGCATTAAGAGAATTGTTATTAAGAAAGCAGGAGAGACAAAAGGAAGCTGACAAAAGGACTTGAGGTGCAGATTGAATTAGGACTCTGTTTTGTTATAGAACCATTTACAGTTGTTTCCACGGGATGTTGGTGGATGTAGTAGTGATAGTTCACTTTACCTCAGTGGTGAGTCTTCTGGCCAGTGTAACCCCACTGGAGGTGGAGGTGGTTTTTCTTTATCTGTAAGTAATACATTAGACTCATGAATCACAAAGAGATTTCTTGGCCTTTCAGGGTGGGGACCATCAAGGACAGTCCAGGGACTGCCTTTGATTTCTGTATTGTATAAACCCAGTTGTTCTGGGTCATGCAGACATGATCATTTTAACAGGATCAATTCATGGTGACCAAAGGATAGTGAGCTATAAATTAGACTAGTTTGTTTATAAACTCTGGGGAATCTGCCTTTAATGGAATTCAAGAAATTGTTCACTAGCTTACATGCTCAAGTTCCTGTTGTTTTTAAGGGATCTGAAAACTTGGTAATCATGGAAGAACGTTTAGTGATGGTATAGCTAGAGCACCTGGAATTAAGTATTTTGGAGGGTCATTTATCTGTTGTTGGTTTTTTTTTTAACATAAGCAATTCTTGGATTGTTGTCTCTACTCTTGACCACAACTCTCTGCATTCAAAACAGAACAAGCCAATTGGCTGTTTGTCATAAAAGGAAAGCTTGTTATTGTTATGTGCTGTCAAGTTGCCTGCAACTCATCCTGACGCTATGTACAGAAGCTCTAAACCCTGCTCTATCCTGTGCCAATCTCACTGTCTCTGACACTCCTATCCCCATTGCCTCAGTGATCACCAAGGGTCTTCCTCGCTTGTGCTGTCCCTCCATCCTCACAAGCATGATGTCCCTCTCCAAGGACTGGTCCCACCTGGTAGCATGCCCAAAGTATGTCAGACAAAGCTTCAGAATCTTCGTCTCCAAGGAGCAGCCTGGTTTCCATTCTCTCTAGGATGAACCAGGTTTTTTCTCTTAGCAGTCCATGGTATATTCAATACTCATCTCCAGCACCACTGCTCAAAGGCATCAATTTTCCTTCTATCATCTCTAGTCATTGTATCACTCACTCTCTGATGCATAGCAAGTGATTGCAAAGGCCATGGCCTGTATCAGGCACACCTTAGTCTCCAGACTGAGATCATTACTCTTCAGTACTTTGGAGAGGTCTCTGACAGCAGACTTTCCCAGTGCAATTCATCTTTTAATTTCTTGGCTCTTGGTGCCAAGAGTATTGATTATGGAGCCAAACAAACTAAAGCTATCAACAGTCTCAGTCTCTTCACAATCTATCATGATGCTGCCAATTGGCCCAGTGGTGAGAATCTTTGTTCTCTTGATATTGAGCTTCAGTCCATATTGAAGGCCGGATTCCTTGACCTTCTACAGCAAGTGCTTCAGGTCTTCCTCAGTTTCAGCAAGCAGAGTTGTGTCGTCTGTATAGTGCAGATTGTTGATGAGTCTTCCTCCAATCCTGACGCCGCATTTCTCCTCATAAAGCCTAGCCTCCTGGATGATCTGTTCTGCACATAGATTGAAAAGGTATGGAGATAGGACACATCCCCAGCGTACACTCTTCCCAGTTTTGAACCATGCAGTGTTTCTTTGCTCTATTCTGACGACTGCCTCCTGGTCCAAGTATAGGTTCCTCATAAGCATGATCAAGTGCTCTGGGATTCCCATTTTTCTTAGACTTAGCCACAGTTTGTCGTGGTATACAATGAAAAGTAAGTTCTACCTTTGCCTTTCCAAATCAGTCCTTTGCTCTCATAACCATTTCCCCCCTTCTCCCCAGATTGTGCTTATTAGCATGTTTGGACTTTAAAAAATGTTAGACAAGAGAGATTTTACCTTGCTTTTTGCTTTTTCCAGTTATGCCATAGAATTCTTTTTGATATTCATCTGTGAGATGTAGAATTCTATCACTGTGTCATAATTATTTTCTAGTCTACGAATTCTCCATTAGTAGATCCTTAGATTGTAATTCCAGCTGTTTTTCTATCTACTCTACACCTGTCATCTTTTTTTTGTGAGTATATCCATAGTGTAAATTTCTAGCAGCTAAAAAGTTATATGTGAAAGAATATGTTTAAAATACTATTTGGCCTGGTGGTAAGAAGTTGTACTGCAATCCCAAAGGTATGCAGTTTGAATCCACCAACTACTCCACAGGAGAAAGATGAACAGTTTCCTCCCGTGCAATTTACTGCCTCTGAAAACCCTCTGGAAAGTCACCCATGGGTCAGTTCCAACTCAGAAGCACACAATAACAACAATAAAAATTCTATTACATTTGTTCTACTGTTTCTTCCAAGAGAACAAACCAGTTAACCTCCATCAGCAGTGGGGGAGACTGCCCATTTCTCTGTACTTCTGTCATTAGGGATATCTTCAATTTGGGTAATTTTTGCTGATCTCAAAATTTCTCATTTAAGCATCTTTGAGGTAATATATTAGTGAATCAGCCTTTCATTTTTAAAACCTCATAATAATTACTCTCTTTGGCTTCTTCATATACACTACATCAAGGTTCCGTGGTTATTGCTTAAAACTCTGCAGTTCTGTTCTCTTTCTGCTTAAGTGGTATAAAAAAGTGACTGGTGGATGTTTAACTTCCACTTACCTATGTATGGATATTTTCTGAATAATCTCAGTAAGCATTTTACCATCTCTTAGTTTGTGTAGCTCAGTTCTACAAGTGAATAAGCTCATTCATTAGCAAGTAACTCTTGGTGGAAGTCACTTTTTTTAAAAAAACAAACTCAGAAAATCTTTTCTCTTCAAATTCCAAGCCTGTAATACAAACTCCCATGAATGTACTGAATCAGCTTTAGCCCTTGGGATTAGAATTTTATATATAGCAGATACCTAATGAATGTCTACAGGGCTTGTGGTTAAACTTGATAAATAAATGAGAAAAATGAAAGAAATTCTTTCGGGAAATAAAAGAGTTTTTCTTTTGCTATTTTTCCTTTGAGTTCTGAATTAAAATGGAAATTTTTCTTTGTGACACTGACAAGGTTAATTTCTTTCCAGCAAAGGTCGGTGACCTTCTGACAAGTGCCTATAAGACAATAAAAGCAAAGCTGCCTTTGACATTGAGAAGTATGTCATTGTACTTATCCAATAAAGATACTGAATTCATCTTGTTTAAGCCTGTTAGGGTAAGTATCGTGAAAATTTGAGTGTGGTCCAGTCTTTTCAGATATTTTCCCTGGACAAAAAAAAAATGTTGGTGTACTATTATAAGAAAGTTGATTAATGGTGACTGTAATTCTTGCAAGGTTACAACTACTGAGTGTGTGTGTATATATATATATATACACACACATAAAATCAGAGGAAATAATATGTATAGATACTTATAGACGTATGTCTATATGTGTGTGTATTACTCATTGTTATTGAGTCAGAACCCATAGCTGACCTTCCAGCAGGTTTTTGGAGGCAGGCGATTGCACTTCTTTCTCTTTAGGAGCTCCTGGTAGATCAGACTGCCTTTGGTTAGCGGCAAAATTCCCTACCCATTAGAGCATCACAGCTACATACATGCATTCACACACACACACACTCTCACTCACTCATTTTTTTTTTACTTTTCCTTCTTTGACAGATTTCTACTTTGTACATGCTCCGAGTTTCACCAATTTTATACGCACGCACGTGTGTGTGTCACACATGTATACAAGAAACCAAACCCTACTGCAGTTGAGTCTGATTGATAGTGACCCTGTAGCAGAGTGTTAAACTGATGCATTGGATTTCCAAGGCAGTATGTCTTTTGAAACACCAACTGCTCTTTTTCCTGAAGAGAGGCTGGTGAATTTAGTAACTCAGGGCTTTCAGCTGCTGTGGCACATATAATGAGCCCTGGTGATCTCGTGTGTTGTGTGTTGGTTGCACTTCTACAAAAAGGTTGACAGTTTGAGTCTCTCAGCCAGTCTGCAGGAGGAAGCTGGACAGTCTCCTGAAAAGGCTTACTGCCTCAGAATTCATGTGTTTCCATTAGTCAGAATCCACTCAAGAGCAGTAGGTAACATTTTAAATATGCTGCTTTACAAAGACGTTAAACAGAGAAACAAAACCTGGCCCTCACATTGGATTTTTTTCCAGCACTTGAGAGAGCTGCTTTTTAGGAGTTATGTGCTATTTTATTGGCCAGTGGTGAAAATAAATGGTATTCAGTGGTACCAAGGGATTAAATGTCAGAGCAAATTTAGTACATATAACTTGGAGTTCTGGGTTGAGCTCACAGTTTTAGCCAAGGATTTGGTTGATTTTTTTTAGACTGTGTTATGTGCTTAGGAACGTTATTATCTTTTATATAAAGAATTGGAGCTAAAGTTCCTTCTTATTCTCTGGAGGAATAGGACTTGCTACAGTTTTGTTTTTGCTCAGGAAGTATCATCTGACAAATCTTAGATTTTGCTAACATCTGAAATACTGAGTGCAGTTTAAATGTTTGTGGTTGCTGGTTTTTTTTTATTTTTTCCTCTCATTGGAAAACATGATTTCTCCAATTGTTTTGTCAAATTTGATTACATTTTACTTCTTGTTTGACAAACGAGTATGATTTTTGCTACTCATTCTGCTTCTTCTTCTTCCTTAGAATAATATTCACCAAGTCTTCCAGAAGGTTTATACTTTGATAAAGGAAGACTTTAGCCCTGAAGAGATCCAGATGATAGTTTGTCCTTCCATGGAACAGGTAATCCACAAGACCCTAGTTACTTTTCCCCTACTTTGATTGTTTTACATGAATAACATATTTCAGTAGTTATGTTTTAATTTTTAAACCAGACATTATTTTATTTTAATGGGCAAGTATCATACTTTGAGTTGCTTTGAAAATGGTACAGTGGTGTCAGAGGCCCTCTAACTTTCTGAGACGGAGTTTTGTTGGCATCAGCCTAAGGATAATTTCCTATGAGGTAAAAGTCCAACATAATTTCACCCTCCAAACTTTGTTCTATTTCTGACTTCAGCCATCTATTCTGTGACATGATTTTTCTGCTGGGTTTGGTGACTGATTTGCAGTAGCCACACAGAGCTCACAGACAAGTGTTCAAGATCATAGAATTTATCAGGGAAGTAACAGGTTACAATTCAGGATCAGAAATAACTCGAGATATACTTATTTGGTCAGGACAGCTTCTTACCCATGCCCACAGCAGGTTTCTCTTGGCCTCTTGGTCTTTCGGCCTGACATCTGCTTTGCTTAGTCAAGTATTAAAAGCTCATTACCTCTGCCAAGTAGTATTCACAGAGCACTGTACCAGAAAGAATTAGTTGACATTGAAAAATTTCAGGAAGTATCATATGAACAAGAGCCAATAGTAATGAAGGATTAAATTCAAGCTGCCCTGACAGCATTTGGCAAAAAATAAGGCCCCAGGGATCAGTGCAGTAGCAATTGACATTTTTCAACTAACAGATGCAACCTGGATATGCTCATCAGTTTTTGCCAGGAAATTTGAAGGATAGCTGTCTAGCCAACTGATTGGAAGAGATCCTTATTTGTCCTCATTCCTAAGAAAGGTGATCCAACAGAATGTGCAAATTATAGAACAGTATCAGTTAATATCTCATGCAAGCAAAATATTGCTAAAAATCATCCAAAAACAATTGGAACATTGACAGGGAACTGTCAGAAGTTCAAGCAGTGTTTAGAAAAGGCCATAGCACAAGAAATAACATTGTGGTTGTCAGGTGGATCCTGGCTGAAAGCACAGAACACCAGAAAGCAAAGAACAAATAGAAGTCTATTTGTATTTTGTTGACTATCCAAAGGCATTAGACTGTGTGGCTGATAACAAATTATGGCTGACATTGAGAATGGGAATCCCGGAACACCATCTGGACAAAATAATTTACTAAAAACGTCATTTGAAGTAATTTTTCTCTGGTTATAGAGTTTGGTTTGTTTTTAACAGATTTCTGCCCTCCTCTTTTCATTTGTTTTTATGATACGAAATGTTTATATCATGTAGTTATGGCATAAAATAAATTTGAGCATCTCTTGCTTTAGTTTCCAGATCTCTCTACCAGCCTTTTTCCTGTCTTCATATAGATCATTGTTTTATTAATAATGGGTTAGCCTCCTGCACATTTTTTTTTAGTTTTGGGTTTTGTTTTTTTTTTTTAATTCATTTTAATGAAAGTTTACAGAGATTTAAAGTTTCCATTCATTCATTGTTGCACTTTTCTCCCTGCCCCCTGCCCCAGTTCGTTCTCCTCTTTGAAAAGTAAAAATATTCTTTCATTGTTATACAATCCCCCCATTTTTTTTATGATGGGAATCTACTTGTTTGCATTTTCATAGAGAAGATCTGAAGAATGGGAAAATTAAGGATGTGGAAAAGTGTCCATGGGCAGAGGAGAGAGGCTCCCATCTCAGAAGATTGGGGACTCTGTTGAGTGTGAAAGGAGAGAAGGCCACTGTGTGTAGGTGGTGGGTCTGAAGGAGCCTCACAGATGTTCTTACCTGACTGTGACTGCCTCCCACTCCTGAATGATATGACCGCAGGAAAGGGAGGAAGTGTTAGGGATTCGAGGAGAAAGGTTCAATTGAATTTTTCACTGTCTGTCTCATTGCTGTTGAGGTGGAACTCATAACTGCCCCTTGATGGTGGATTTCATCTATCAGAGAGGCTCGGCCTGCACGTTAGCAGCTTTCTGTGGACACCACCAGTGTTCTCCTCAGTTGAGCTTAGTGATCATGAATTCCACTTCAGAGACCATTTAGCTTTGTATCTGAATTTTCCCTCCAGTCCTAGTAAGTTGAATCAATGAAGATGGGGTCTAGAGGGCGAACTGTGTGTCATCAAGAACTGCTACAGGGTAGAGCCAAATAAGTTAAATGTTTTGTAAGAGAGGATTATAGTGACCAGCCATAGAGGGAGGAGGAGGATGATAACGCAGAAGCTGAAGGAGAGTGACAGATAGGAAAACTCAGATTATGTGAATTCTGGTGGAGTCAAAGATTCTGGAGTTCCATATGCAAGGGATAAACTGGAGAGATGAGAGGTGGTGATTACAGTGAAGTGCTTAGAGATGAGTTTATGTTCATGGATATGAACACCTGAGGTGGAAGATGGGGCTATTGATGGGAAGATATTAGACAACTGAGAGACCTAGATAGATGCTGATCTCCATGCTTGTAATTTCTTGCTAATCTTCACTGAACCCTTTGAGATGAAGGCATAGTAACAGCTGAATGAAGTTACATACCTTGCTGGGGTCACAGGGCTGGGGGCTGGGATATAACTGATTCTGTGCATTGTCCTAGAATGAGCCCCCTACTTGTTGTCACTTTCTTTTCCTTTTTAAGTGACCCTGGGAATTTATTGGAAGTGGGAGTGGCATCCACTTCCTACACAACATGCCTCTGGAAAATCTGTGAACTTTCATAAATGATGATAGTTATAGAAAGGCTTCAGGTCTTTTGTTCATAGGGTCGCTGTGAGTCGTGCTCGATTTGATGGCAATCAACAGCAACAATAACAACACAACTGGTAATTTAACATTTATGACCATATTCAGAAGATCCAACTTATCACTTGTTCACTAATTGCCATTGTGTCAGAACTGACAGATAGCTGATCCTCCAGTGGGTTTTCAGAGGTTGTTAATTGAATGAGAGGAGATTGCCTGTCTTTCTCCGAGAGAGTGGCTAGTGGATTTGAATTGCTTGCCTTGCGGTTGGCAGTCCAACTCCTTGCCCACTAGACTACCAGAGCTTCCAGTACTTAACAGTATAAATTGTTTTGGCAACTTTATTTTTTTATATAATTTTAAATTTACAGAGAATATTTAAGAATGCTCCCTCAGATATACTTTGAGCATGTTGCAAGGAGGGACCAGTCCTTGGAGATGGACATCATGCTCGGGAGGGCGGTGGGACAGTGCAAGAGAGGAAGACCTTCGATGAGATGGATTGATTCAGTGACTGGGGTAATCAGGATGGGTGTGTCAGAGACAATAAGGTTGGCTCAGGAGAGAGCAGGGTTTAGAGCTGTAGTACATGGAGTCACCATGAGTTGCAGGTACTTGACAAAATAACACATAACGACAACAACAATATGCAAGAATGGCATAAGACATTCCCTTAACCTTTCACCTAGTTGTTTATAATGAGCACATACACTTTCTCTCTTCCTTTCCCTCTTTGAAGTTATTTAAGGGACATGGTGTCCCTTTATTTCAGGGTTTATTTCCTAAGAGCATGAAGAGCTTGTTGTGGTTTGTTACACTTATCACAACAGGAAATTTGATTTTGATGCTGTTGTCTAATTGATGGTTCAAATTCCAGCATACGTCCCACAGCTCGAGGTCATAGGCTGCTTTGAAGGGTCAAGGTCCTAGTTTCTTTTAGCTAGGAACAGGTCCTTTTCTGCGATTTTCTTGTTTTTGTTAGTCCATCAGTTTTGTGGTAGCTGTTTGATGATTAGATTTAGGTTCTATATTTTTCTCAGGAGAAACAGATGTGATATTGAGTATCTGCCTCTGTCATTTATAAGAGATTTTTTTTTTAAAAAAAATACCTTGTTTTAATTCAGTCACTCATAGATATTTTGTTTTAGCAGTAATTACAATTTATAATGCCATAATTTACAAAGTCCTGTTGACATTTCACTGTTCATCTTCCTTTCCTCTGCCTGACTCTGCTCCACCTTGCCCTCCCATCCCTGCCTGTGAACTCCCCACTGTTGTTTCTGTCTGTGGGTAAATCTTCCCTACTCTCTTTATTCCCCCATCTTCCCCCCCTCCCCAATTTGTTCAGTTATACTTGTATTGTTTCAGATTACTAAATGCAGTGCACAAGTTCAATTTTCCTTTCATTTAAGGTTGATTATCCCCTTCACTAGTCCATTGCAGTGTTCATTATCCATTCTTTTCCTGCTTCCCCCGCCCCCCCCATCATGACCATCCTATTTTTAGAACGTGGTTATATATTTGTCCCTTTGTGACCAAGTTATTTGCTCACCATAATGTCCTCTAAATCCATCCATCTTGTGGAGTGTTTCAGAGCTTGTCATTGTTTGAAGAGGAGATTCTGAGGGGATGATTTTATTTCCCCAAATCTCATCTGTAGAAGTGTCACTGCCAGGTTCGGTATCTGCGGTTGGAGACCTGTGTGCAGACTGTGGATTGTGGTCTCCACAGCAGACCTCCCTGGGCCCCACCCCACGGGCCTGCTCTGTAAGGTGTCCAGGCCGATCCTGCCAGCAGACCAGGCTTGAAACTCATTTGTCATATCACTTCTTGTGTGCTGAAAAAGTCACTTGAAAGTTCCACACAACTCTGCCCCAAACACACCCTACATAGAAGAAGATGGTAGTTGCTATTTAGATCTATTTCAGTAACTGGTCCATCTTGGTATACATTTTTCCCTCCCTGATAAACTTTGGATTTTAAATGACTGCGGGCAAAGTGATAGTGACTGTATGGTGGGTGTCACTCCACAGGCTCTGCAGTGCTCAGGACCCAGAGCACACAGTTCATGCTGTACAGAGCCATGGTGTCAGAGAAGAGTGTGCTCCGCAGAGTTTACATGGCTGTGAGCTTTCAGGGATAGCTTGCCACGTCTTTGTTCTGAGGTGCCTCGGAGAGTGTTCAGCTGACAGCCTTTTGATTAGTAGTTGAGTGTTTACTTATTTCTACTATCTCTTAATAACCTTTAACTTTTTTTTACGTAGTTTTTAAAAAAATTAGAACAGCTTTCTTTTAAAATTTTTTTAATTCATTTTAGTGAAAGTTTACAGAGACTTAGGGTTTCCAGTCATCCATTGTTGCACTTTTCTCCCTGCCCACCCCTCTCCCCAATTCACTTTTCTCCTTGATAAGTAAAAGAAAAATTCTTTCATTGTTATGTAATTCTTCCCCCCAGGTTCACTGCACTGTGCAGCATTCATTCTGGATTCCTGTCGTGACAGTAATACCTAGTTATATATCCCTTTTAAACAGTTCTCTCCGTCATCCAGAGCAGATTTCTTAACATAACCTTTTACATTTCAGGTAAACCTGCTGCTGTTAGATTAGCAGTAACCAGACCAGTTGGCTGTCGGCATAAAAGCAGTCCTTAGGAGCAGCTGAAACATCTTGTTGCCTACAGGACGTTGAGGAAGGTGTATGGTCGCTCCTCTGAGAGCCATCCAGCCTGCTGCTGCCCAGTGCTGACCACAGGGTGTAAAACGAAGTGTTAAGAAGGTGGTGTTTCCCTTTAAAAAAACATCACAATGCCAAAGACGAATCTGAATGGTGGTAACTGTCTCATTTAAATGTTCAGAAGAAACAGAAGTGTTTCAGCATGACCTTAATTGCTACCCAAAGATGTGCACTGAAGTTGATTACAATAAATAGTATTGTAGATAAAGCAGGGACGAACTACAGAGCACAGGTCGTTAGAAAGCTTCTAAGGTAAAGGTGCACAATGGCAAGAGATGCTGGAATACCTTTAACCACGGAGCATTCCAGTGACTGTATAGTTTTACTTTCAGAATAGTTATTTCTGCGCCATGTTCAATGTAAAGTTTCACCCATCATTTTGAATTTCATTTGAGTAGGTTGTATACTTCTGAGAACACTTTCTGCTTTCCTGGGCATTCAGCCTGTTATCTTTCTGTATGTTTGGTGTGAGGTAGCTGAAAGACGAAAGGGCCTTCTAGCAGGTCCCAGAATCTTCTTGAATTACTTAGGTGCAGAATGTTCAAACGCGGGGAGCTGCAGCCTCCTTATAATAGGTGTGTGCAGTATCTTTAATGAGAATCTAGCAGTCAGTGTTTGTGAGGGGAAGTACCAATTAAGGATGCCTTAGAGCTGACACATCCAGAGAGAAGGGGGCCTGATGAATAACGGGTCTCAAGAATGAAGGTTAGGGTTACCACTTTTTCCACACTGCTTCTGCCTTCGGCTCTAGCGGTTCTTTGAAAAGGGAACACTTTCATCCCGTGTCTTCAACTGGCTGTGCTGTGTCCTGGCATTTTGGATTTCCTATTATAGTAGAATAAATTTTCCTAGCAAAGATAAGGATGATGAGGGCTGAATGCCCACACCTTAAACCTACCACAGTATGTCAGGGATCTGAAAAGAAATGAGAACTTCTCGCAAATACGGATTTCCTACTAAGATTGATTTTTGCCTCCAACATTACAGTAAGTGTAGCCTACTTTTGGTTCAGAAAGAGTTGAGTTGTTTCAGCACCGGTCTAGCAGTGGGGCCCTGCCAGGGGCTCAGACTCAGCAGCAGTCTTGGAGGGGCGGCCTTCCTCCTGATCCTTCACAGTGAGGGTAGCAGCGTGGCCCACACCCTCAGACCAACCCTTCCCATGTGTAGATAGGTAGCTTGTCCACTGTCTGTCATTGCTAACAGGTCACTGTCCCTCAAGTCCTTTTCAGCTGGTGATGGATGTTACTTAATAGAGCTTATTACTCTGTATTTTGGGAAGTTAGAAGGTGAAAAGGGTCTATATTCATTCTTGAAAATGAAATGAATGAATCTGGGAAGACTGTATTTGCTTCCACTCCTATTTTAAATATGTGTTTAATAACAAACTGTAAAATACCCACTTTTGTGTATTATATGTACATTTGATTTTTTTAATAGCCTTTCCAAAGAAATGAGGGCATGATCATTGTACAGTACTGTAACTGATTGACTTTGATGTACAGCGTGTTCCTAAGGGCAGAAATATTAACTGACACTCGGTTCTGTGTCTTGACTCTTATTTCTGAGATACTCAAACAC